TACTACGACGACTACTACTACTACTACTACTACTACTACTACTACTACTACTACTACTGCTACTACTACTACTACTACTACTACTACTACTACTACTACTACTACTACTACTACTACTACTACTACTACTACTACTACTACTACTACTACTACTACTACTACTACTACTACTACTACTACTACTACTACTACTACTACTACTACTACTACTACTACTACTACTACTACTACTACTACTACTACTACTACCACTAGTACTACTACTGCGATTAGTACCAGTAGGGCGATTACTTCTACTACGACTAATACTACGATCCCAGTGCGACCCGACCTAGAAGGTGGAGCTCCTCGGAAAACTGCAGTAGTTGCTATGCTATGCTATGCTATGCTATGCTATGCCATGCTATGCTGCGCTATGCTAGGATATGCTATGCTATGATATGCTGCGCTATGCTGTGCTATGCGATGCTAAGCTACGCTATGTCATGCTGCGCTGTGCTATGCTAAGCTACGATATGCTGTGTTATGCCAAGCTGCGCTATGCTATGTTATAATTGGCTATCATATGATATGTTATGCTATGCTGCGCTGTGCTATGATATGATATGATTGGTTATGTTATGTTATGCTATGATATGTTAATGCAGCGCTGCGCTATGCTAAGCTAAGCTAACCCTCTAGGCAGAGCCTGGGTAGGGAATTACACCCATGCTAATGCTATGCTGCGCTGTGCTATGCTGTGCTGTGCTGTGCTGCGCTATGCTATGCTATGCTGTGCTGCCCTATGCTATGCTATGCTGGGCTATGCTATAATATGCTGTGCTGCGCTATGTTATGCTACGCTCTGCTATGCTATGCTGTGCTCTGCTGTGCTCAAGCTCAGCGAAGCTAAGATGAAGGTAAGCTAAGCTAAAATAAACCTGAGCTGAGATGAAGCTAACCTAACATCTAGGAGTTAAGCTAACCTGAGACAAGCAACGCTAAGCTAAGGAGACGTAACTGGGGGAACCGCGGGGCGGATGCCGGGGGGAACCGCCCGGGGCGTTTTGTACTGCCCGGCCCTTTAAGCATATAGAGAAAGAGCCCTTCTAGGCAGAGCCTAGGTAGGCTTAACTCCTCCCGCAACTACTTCTCTCCGGCACTCAGGAAGCGTTGCTATGGTCGGAGCCGTGAGCGCATCGACACCGAGACGATTGACTAGGCATGAAACGCAGACACAAATCGGCTCCCTGGAGGTGCGGGGAGGTGGGTGGGCGACGGCTGAGGCCATTGCTCCCGTCCCAAAGCCTACAAGTCAGGCTTAAGTCCTCCCGCAACTATTTCTCTCCGGCACTCAGGAAGCGATGCTATGGTCGGAGCCGTGAGCGCATCGACACCGAGACGATTGACTAGGCATGAAACGCAAACACAAATCGGCTCCCTGACCCAAACCTCCAAAACATGCTAAGCGAGACACACAGCATGCATGAAGACACTTCCCAGGCTGTGAGACAAGCAGCAAGCACTCAGTTTTTGCCACGCACGGGAGCGGCCACGGCCCGTGCGAGCAGGCCTGGCAGCGCAGCGGCGAAGCTCCCCACGAGCTCCGCGAGGCCTGCGACAGGTTCGGCACGAATGCCACCGCCGCCACCCCCTGGATGTAGATCTCCATGGACTGCGGCCGCAGGCGGAGGTAGACCGCGGGCCGAGGATCAGGCGGCTCGCCTGCCACGCGAGCGCCACTCGTCATCATCGTCACGCTGATCCAGACCACGGCGATCAGCCTGCATCCGCCTGAAGCCGCGCCGGCGGGGCCCTCGCCAGGGTAGCCGAGCGTGCTGTCGAAGTCCTTCTGCTTCCACGAGAGCAGCTTGAACGTCATGCGACACCACTCCGACTCGGCGCGCCGCTGGCGAGGCACGCGCGCCCACTGGTCGAGGCTCCGCAAGTCGCCAGCCACGGCCGAGCGCCACCAGGCGGGCGGCGTGGCCGACGGCGGGGCGATGCCTCGGCCCCGCGACGGCCCGTCGGCGGGGATCAGGCGCGCGGGCGCGAAGTCGTACCCCGGGTACACGTCGAAACCTAGCACATCGGGCAGGCCCACCTTCAGGTCGTCGTTGAGCGCGCGCGACGCCGACCTGCCCTTCGAGCAGGCGCCCAGCGCCACGGTCGAGTCCAGCAGGAACGGTTGGCGGGCCCCAGGCTGCAGCCGCGCGGCCTTCGCCCTCGCTCTCAGGCGGGCGCGCACCTCCAGGCGGTTGATGTGCGTCGCCGGCGGGCAAGGGTCACAGGTGAACGCGCGCCAGCGGCAGCAGCGGATCAGGTCGTTGACGAACGGCTGCTCCTGTCGCCCGCCCGCCGCGGCCGGCGCCTGCTCGGGCCCTCCCAACGGGGCCCTGGCTGCCAGATGGCGCACAGCTCGGCCGCGTAGGCGGCCGCCGGCGCCGCGCGCGCCGCACCGACCAGCGGGCGGCTATGAGCACGGCGCCCGCGTGCGCAGGGGCGGGACAGCGGCTGCAGGAAGCCGCCGCTCACCAGACCTAGCCGCGTCGGCTTCTGGCACGGCGCGCCGAAGGCACAGGCCGCAAAGTCCAGCGAGCCGCAGCCAGGCTTGGCGAGCAGCGACCGCAGCGCTGGCACGCACCACGAATAAGCGCCCGCGGGGTGCTCCAGGGACCCGAGCCTGTCGTACTTGAGCGCGGTCCACAGGATGAGGAGCACCCTGTAGAGCAGGACGGTACCCGGGCGCGTAGCAGGATCGGTAGGGCCCAGACCCAGCGGCTGGGCACGCGAGCGCAGCCGCGGCTGGCGCGCCAACGAAAACGTGGCGCACGGCGGAGCGCAGTGCACGTAGGCGACCCGGCCGTTGATGATCAGGAAGAGGATCCACTCCACGATGCGGACGGAGCGCAGGTCCCAAAGCGGATGCGTCTTGGGGTCGATCCTGGGCCCCACTCGAAGCCCGGCGGCCGCATGCGCTGAAGACCAGGGGGCGTCCCGCCCGCTGCAGACCTCCAGCGCGTCGAACACCTCGAGCAGATGCCAGCGCGGCACCTTAGCCCCAGGCCGCAGCTCCTCGTCTATGTCCTGCAGCCAGGCTCCATCCTCCAGTCGCTTGTGCGCGCGGATGTAGGCCACCTCCTTGCTGGTGAGCTGCGTGCACCACCCGCGCTGATCCCTGTGCCGCCAGATCTCGCGCACCACCGTCTGGGCGACGTCGGCCTCGACGGCCGCCATGAAGTGGTGCGAGGCGTCGCTGCACACCACCCTGCTCGCTACCTTCGCCTTGAGGTTGGTGACCAGCGTGGGCGCCAGCATGGACAACAGCATCAGCTCCTGCCGCGCGCCCGCGTTCAGCTCGAAGACGTCGTCGTCGAGCGGCACCGCCGGCAGCGCACGGAACACCTCGTCCAGCAGGCACATAGCGGGCCGCCGAAAGCCCACGACATGCACCCAGCTGGCCACCGCCCTCCTGAGCAGGGCGCCCGCCACGAGGCCGTGCGCCGCAATGCCAGAGGATAGCAGCGCCAGGCCAGCACGCCGCAGTCGTTCAGCGCCGATATGTCCCGAAGACAGCACCTCCGCTCCCAGCGCGAAGCCTGCGGAGGCGCCTGCCACGCGCTCGTCGTCCGCGGCCCCCAGGCCCACCTGCGCGCACTGCTCGCGGGCTCCAGCGAAGGACTGCACCAGCTCGCGCGGCAGCTGCCGAGAGCCCCGCGCCCGCTGCCCCAGGCCGACGTGGCCGTCGATCTGCAGCAGCTCCGCGCGCGCGCCCCTCGGGAAAGGCCGATGGCGCTGCACCCGCACAGCGTCCGCCAGCGAGCCCCCCGCCTGCAACACGGCCTCGTGCGCGCCCTGGGCGAAGTCGATGGCGTTCAGGTCCCCCATGAGCAGGCTGGCCACGCACACCACGCAGTGCCCCCCCAGCTCGGCGCGGCGCGCCGCGCACGCCCTGGCGTGCTTCAGCAAGTACGTGGGGACCCTGCGCCCCAGGATGTTGGCGCGCGCCTTGGCCGGCGTAGAGTCGAAGGCGGGGTAGAAGTCGGCCACGTCCTCCGCGAACAGCACGGGCACGAAGCCCTCGTCCAGCTCGTAGTCGCACAGCGCGTGCCCGGAGACCAAGCGCTGGCTGCCCGACTGCAGCGCGTGCTCGGCCGCGTTCCGTATCGGGCGATCCCACACTATACGATCTCGGTGCTGATCACGGTAGACCGGGATGAACTTACAGGCCTGGCCCATGTTCACCTCGTCTGGTCTCGCCAGGTACAGCTTGTGGGAGCGATCCAAATCCGAAGCGAACTCCACGATCTGATGCATGCCCCCGGACTGCCGCATAGCTTTCAAGCCATGCTCGAGCGGGACATCCCTCAAGATCAGCTCCGGGTCCAGGTACGCCGCCGCCTCGAAAACGGGCAGGTGGCACACAGGGTCGAAGTGGGCCCCCTGCTTGCAGAAGGTCGCGCGGCTGGCCACGAAGGGCGCCACCGCGAGAGGGGGTGGAGCGCGCACCTGCTGCTCGGGTGCGGCTCCACGCAGTTGCATACGGAATTCGAGAAGCGCCTGTAGCTTCATCTTGCCGCGGCCGCTCATGTAGTAGGGCGCGCGGCTCCACTGCTTGGCAAGGGCGAGGAGGTGCGGGAGCCGCTCTCGCTGCACGTCACTCAAGCCCATCCCCGCCCTGTAAGCATCCGGGCACCGCCGCCGCGAGCCGAGCGCCAGGAAGGAGCACGCGACCACAATCAGGTTCACCTGCAGCTTGGCCACCTGCGCCTTCTTCCAGCGGTCCCTGCAGCGCGGGCTGGAGTACGGAGGGGCGCCGATGGCCCACGGATAGGGCGGCGCCATCGGGAACAACTTCAACCAGGTACGCGCCGGGGAGTCCGACGGCGCGCCGGAGAAATGCATGCACGAATGCAAGTAGTAGGCCAGACTGGTCCTGGCCTGCAGCAAGCGGCGCACCATGCCGATCTGCACCCGGGGCAAACCAGCCTCGATGTCCGCCAGCAAGCCGGCGTCGCCGGCTACGCACCCTCCTTGCCGCCCCCGCCGCGCCCGCCCTTGGGGGGCGGCTTGGGCGGCCGCTGTTCCTCCTCGTCCTTCTTGCCGCCGCCGCGGTCGTTGTTGAACTTATTCCTGATCTCGGCCAGGGAGGCTGCGTCCTTGGTGTAGGCCATCGCTGCCGTGGTCCACGTCGGCTCGGCCAGGTGGCCGAAGGGCCGCAGGCTGTCCACCGAGCCGCTGGAACCTGTCGTCATCTGAGACCACGGCGGCTCGGGCAGGTGAGTGAGGAGCCAGGCCAGCTGCGAGCGCCCGTTGTCCCTCTGCGCCTGCTCCAGCGCCGTCAGCAGCAGCAGGATGACCGCCTCCGCCGCCTCGAGCTGGCCTCGCGCCAACAGGTCCGCGACCCGCGCGATCCCGAAGCCTAGGTAGGTCGCCGTCCTGTTGCCGCGGTTGATCGTGCCCGTCCTGACCACGAACTCCACCAGGCTGCGCACGCGCGGGTCGGGGTCGTCCGAAGTGCCCGCCAGCGCCACCTCCGCGTTCCTCCTGATCATGGCTGACCATGCCGCTGGACGCGCCTGCAGGTCGCGCCGCAGCATCTCCATGCTGGCAGCGCCGCGGGCCCCTGGCATCTCGCCAGCAGCGGCGGACCCATCGTCGAAGCCCGGCTGCAATAGCCCGGCCAGCGCGTCGGGCTCGGCGCCAGCAGGCATCCGCTGCAGCCCGGCCACGGCAGCCCAATGGGCGGCCAGCTCGGCCGGCGAGGCCCCTGCCGGCGGCGGCGGGGCCGCGGCCACAGCGCCCACGCGCCCGGCGGCGGGCGCGCCGGCCCCGGCCTGGCACCACGCGAAGATGCCCTCCGCCGACCTACGCACCGCGCCCTCGGTGACGTCGGCGAGCGGCACGCCGTGAGCACGAGCGCAGTTGGCGCGGGCCTGGGCTACCTGCACAGCGTTCAGAGGCATCTCGCTGGCACGCCCCGCAGCAGCCCCAGCGGGGGGTCCTCGCGCAGCCGCGCCTGCGGCAGCGGGCACGGCGCCGACCGGCAGCGGGCTCGCCAAGCCTACGGGCTGCCCGAAGCGAGCCAGGGGCGGCGCGCCCGCGGCCTGCAGCGCCCACTGCACCGCCGCCTGCTCCGCCGCGGCGCCTCGCGCCGGGCCGAGCACCTGAGGATGCGAGGGGGCGGATGCGGTCAGGGCGGGTGCGGCCTCGCCCAGCGCGGGCTCCGCGGCGCCCACTGCCCCCGCGCCCCCAGCCGGTGGGCGCCCCACCGTCTCCAGCAGCGTCATGCGCCTCAGCACGTCCTGGTTCGAAGCCTCCAGGCGCTCCAGCACGGCGGCCAGCGAAGCGACCGTCGTGCGGCCAGAGGCCGCGGGAGGGCGGGGCCGCGCGGGGCCGCGGCGGCTCTCGGCGGCGCTGTCCTCCTCCTCGGCGCTGCTGGCGGGGCCAGCGCGCCCCCGCGCGGCTCGCGCGCGGCCAGCGGCCAAGGCTGCGCCCTTGGCCTGGGGCGTCACGGCCCGAGCAGCGGCAGCAGCCGCGTCCTACAGGCGAGCGGCGCCGGCGACGCCACCGGCGCGCGCGGGAGGCTCGGGCGGGGGCCACGGCTCCCAAGGCGCGGCCGCTGCAGCAGCGGCGCCCCCGCGGGGCGGCGTCACGACGCCCGGCAGCCCTTGCCCGTCGGGCCCCACGATCTGGCCCTCGCCTCCCGGCTCGGGCTCCGGCGGCGGCCAGCGCAAGCGAAGGAGCCCGCGCCAGGGCCCGAACCCTAGCGCGCCGCCCAGCACCGCGTCGAGGTCCTCTGGGCTGAGCGCGCGCGCGGCGGGGACCAGCGCGCTGGAGTAGTCCCGCTCTGGATTGATGCAGTCGCCCGCCACTGCCGCAGGCAGAGAAGCTGCCAGGGAAACCAGCGCGCGGGCCGCAGGCCAGCGTCCGTCGCCAGCCCCATGGCCGCTGCCCGTGGCGGGCTCCATCCAAGCCCCGCCCTCCGAGCTGACCCTCTCGAACGCCACCGTCGCCATCTGGCCGTCGACAGCCGGGGGGAAGTGCACCGGGTCGCCCAGCGCGGCGAAGTGGGGGCTCAGCCAAGGGCACACGTCCGCGGGGATCGCGATGGTGAGCACGGAGCCCGCCTTGCGGATCGGCACGATCGGCACCGCGATCCCCGCGCCGTCCGCGCTCAGCCCCCGGTGCACCACCGAGACGTCCACCTGCAGGGGCATGTAGTCGTCCGTCAGCTCCGCCACCCGCATCTCCCACTCGTACTCCTCCGCACTGGCCGGGTCGGCCCCTCCAAGCACTGCAGTCGCCATCACGCGAGGCGCGGGGCCAGCACGTCGAACAGCGGCGCGGGCAGCGGCGCCTCGTGCTTCGCCGCCTCCGCCTCGTAGCCCTCCACGGCAGCCGACTCGCTGGCGTAGCGCCGGAGCCTCGCGCCCGACGAGAACGTGTAGCGCCCGCCCGGCAGCGTCGCCGACAGCTCCCGCCAAGCCGCGCCGCCGCCGCAGTGCACGCCCCGCAGCTCTGGCCGCAGGGGATGCCGCCACACGGCGTAGGCCCAACTCTCTGGGCGCGGGGCGCGCGCCGGAGCCTGGCTGCCACCAGCCCGTCCGCGGCGCGCCGCTGCGCCCGCCTCGGGCGCCCGCTTGGCCGGCGACGCGCCGGCCCCGCAAGGGGTCCCGCCCAGCACAGCAACGGCTGCCTCAGCCGCGGCGCGCCCGGCCTGCGCGGCGTCCGCGCCGCACGCGACGTGCACGTGGACCTCCACATGCTGCTGGACGAAGGTGCCAGCACCGCCCTGGGGCGAGGGGGTCGGCGCCGCAGCCGCCCGCGCAGCCGCGCCCGCGGCGCGGCGGCGAGCGCACCAGCTCGGCAGCCGCCGCCACCAGCCCGAGCGACCGCCGCTCGCGGCCTCCGCGAGCTCCAGCGGGAGCGCGCGCTGCATGCAGCGCCAGCGCGCGAGGGGGCCACGGACCGCGCGGGCGCTGATCCGTGACGGCTGAGGCCATTGCTCCCGTCCCAAAGCCTACAAGTCAGGGAATAAGCTAAGCTAAGATGAGATAAGCAACGCTAAGCTAAGGGAACGAAGCTGGGGGACCCACGGGGCGGATGCCGGGGGAACCGCCCCGGGCGAGGACCACTGCCCGGCCCTTTAAGCCAACGCAGTAAGAACCCTTCTAGGCAGAGCCTAGGTAGGGAACAACAACAATGATGATGTTGGCGCCCCCTGCTTGCGTACCCCTGTGGCCTCAAGATAAATCCACGCGTGCTACGCTCTGGGAGGCCCCACCTCCCGCGCATCCCCTCTGGTGGAGAGAAAGTGTCACGCCTGCCAATAGCGGCCGCGCTGAGGGACCACCCCGTGCGCACCCTCTATGGTGTCGAGAAAGGTCCACGCCCGCTTATGGCCTGGACGCCCGGGGCGCATAGCGGCCGCGCTGAGGGACCATCCGTGCGCACGCGCAGATGGTGTCGAGAAGTGCCACGTCTGCTATGGCCTGGACGACAGGTCGCATAGCGGTCGCGCTCAGGGACCCCCCCCCCTGCGCACCCCCTACTGTGTCGAGAAAGTGCCACGCCTGCTATGTCCTGAACGACAGGGGCGCATAGCGGCCGCGCTGAGGGACCACCCCTGTGCACCCCCTGTGGTGTCGAGAAAGGTCCACGCCAGCTATGGCCTGGACGCCCAGGGCGCATAGCGGCCGCGCTGAGAGACCCCCCCCCGCGCACCCGCAGATGGTGTCGACAAGATGCCAGGCCTGCTAGGCCCTGCGACATTGGTGCGTGTAGAGACCGCGCTGAGGGACCACCCTCTGCGCACAACCTGCGGTGTGGAGAAAGTGTCCTGCCACGCCCTGCGAGCGTGTCAAGGATAGAGGCCGCACTGAGGGACCACCCCCTGCGCAACCCCTCTGGTGTCGAGAAAGTGCCGCTCCCGAGCCAAAAGTTGCGAGCTCGAAACAGAGAGGGGGATCACCCCAGCGCACCCCCATGTGGTGTCGAGGAAATGCCACGCATGCCACGCTTTGCGAGCCCGAAACGGAAAGGGGGACCATCCCCCATTGAACTCCCTGTGGAGTCGAGAAAGTGCCACGCCTGCCATGCACTGCGAATCCTGCACATATGGCTTGCGTATGGCGTGTCATGTGTACGTGTCTGAGTTGTGTCAGTCTGTATGTAGACGTATGTCTCCTATGTGTGTCCAGTACGTGGTACATACGTCTTGGGTGTATGGTGCACTGAACACGCCAGGTGTGCACTAGCGTTGTATAATCTGTGTGCGAATGTGTGCACGCGTGCGGCTAGATTTTTTTGTTCAACCAGCGCGATGATATGACATGTGCGTGGCGTGGCGTGTCATCTCTGCAGATTTCCACCGTGCCCTCCAGGGGCCTCTTTCCCGGCCATTGGCTATCGGCACCAGCACGCGAGCGGCGGCCAACGCAGAAAACTGCGGACCTGAAACTTCGAACTGCCGCCGCCTCCACGGATAGAAAAAAAACCAAAAGGCGACAAGCACGACCTAAACAGTCGTGTGCGTACGGTGATCCGCTTCCCCTCGTGGGGGCCATAGCCGCTCCCACCGACGCGTGTCTCATGCGCGCGCCGTGCATGTGCGGCTAGATGTAGACGCGTGTCTCATGTGCGTGCCGTGCATGTGTTGCGTGCGGGTGAGGGGAGGAAGGAGGAGGAGGAAGAGGAGGAGGGGAGGGCGGGTGTGAGTGAGACGCGGGCGCGACGCGGGTGGAAAGAAAACCAGAACCACACGAAACACGTAGGGAAAAACAGTCCTACACCCTCCTCATCAGAGTCTAAAGGGGGTTCTAAATCGGTACCCCATCCCCTGCCGAGGGCCCATCTGGGCCCACTTGTTGGAGCCGCGTCCAGACGTGGCGACGAGGACCTCCAGAAGCGTCCAAAACATCCGAAATGGAAACGATGTCGGCGTCGCCGCCGCCATCGTCATCGGACATCGTATATCGTCAGAGTCAACCCCAGACCCGTCCCAGAATTCACCCTGGATCGATTTCTGATGAAACGCGCGCCTCCTGAGGATTCAAAAAAGGAACAGAGAACCGTTCTCACAATTGCTACCGCGGCGCAAATGTGTCTGTCCCTCGATACACACAGTTGTCACCTTAGCCGCGCTGGTTCGTCTTAATGGTTTGCACCAATTCACGGATGAATGAAGGGTTGGTTTCAAAACTATTGGGTGCTCGCCTTAGCGCCGCGCACATTGGTTTTCAAACCCTTCCACAGTTTCAAGGAGGGAGGCGGCTCTTTTTCAAATTGTGGCTCTCTAGCGCCGCGCATACTCGTCTTCAAAATCTGCAACAATTCCAATGATGTAGAGGCAACTATCATAATGCCACTCTCGCTGTAGCGCCGCGCGCGTCCGTCTTAAGGCTTCAGCAGCATCACAGACGAAGGAGGACAGCAGGTGAGTCTCGCCTCAACGCCCAGCACATTCGTCTCAAAAGCTTGCAGCAGCTTCACGGTGGAAGAGCGGATCGTCTTCAGAATGGACGCATCGCCTTAGCGCCGCGCGCACTCGTGGTAACACGTTGCATCTGCTTCAAGGATTGAGCACTGGTCACGTTCAACATGGGGCCCTCGCCTCAGCGCCGCGCACATTCTGTGTTGTGCCACGCTTAGCCAAATGGAGGCCTGCTCTTGTTTAAAGTTGGGCTGCCACGCCATACTTCGCGAATGTTCCAGCCCCGAAACGTCAACGCATGTAGCGCTGCGCGGATCCAGGGCGGCTCTTTTTCAAAATGGAGCTGGCGCTGGACACCTGTGTTCTCGGAGCTCATGGCCACAAATGTAAGCTTGTGCAACAGTTGCACGGCTGGAGGGGGGCGGCCCTTTTTCGAAGGTGGAGTTCGCTGGACAGCTCGCTGCAATTTATGATCAGATTCGCGTACCTGATTACGCGCCAGAAACATGTACTGCAAGTCCTCCTCACAGCGATGCCCTCGCCACAATGGCAGGCTCACCTTTGAAAGGGGGCACATCTTGCAGTGAAGAACAAAAGTTGCAGGGTCGTGAGGAGGGGACTTGGGACAAGAGGGTGTGCTGCGGCATCGCTGGCGGATATTCAAATTACTCTAGTCCTCCTCTTCCCCCTCCTCATCCTCCTCCTCGTCCTCCTCCACCGCCTCCCCCTCCTCCTCCTCCTCCTCCTCCTCCTCCTTCCCCTCCTCCTCCTCCTCCTGCTCCTCCTCCTCCTCCTCCTCCTCCTCCTCTGGGGGGGGTTCGACGTCGTCTTCGCCGCCGCCTTCGCCGTCGTCGTCGTCGTCGAACCTAGATCCTGGATCCTCGATCCCCCTCGGGGGGAGGGCGCCGTGGTCGTACACGCCCTCCTCGCAGGCGTCCGCGAAGTACGCTCTCCCGGACATGTACGCGATGACCTCCCCCGCACGGCGGCGCGGGCGAGTGGCGGCCCTGGGAGGCCCTCTGAGGCGCCCTCGGCGGCCCTCAGCGGCCTGCGGCGGGCCAGGCAGTGGCGACGGTGGCGACGGCGGCGAGGACCTCCCAGGCGCAGATAGGGGTGGCAGGCCAGCGACGCAGGCGAGCGGCGGCCCTCGGCGGCCCTCGGCGGACAGGCAGTGGCGTGGCGTGGCGTGGCGTGGCGTGGCGTGGCGCGGCGTCGTCGGCGGCGGCGGCGGCCTGCGGCGGCGGCGACGACGACGACGACGACGACGACGACGACGACGACGACGGCGGCGGCGCCGGCGGCGACGACGACGACAAGAGCGACGTCGAAGTTTTTGAGTGTTTGGGGGCGCTTCTGGAGGCCCTCCGTCGCCACGGCTGGTCGCGGCCCCGACAACTGGTCAGAATAGGATCCTGGGACAGCCTCCGGGGCGTCTTTGCACGAAAGTCGGCAGCGGGCAGGATACACGCCGCGCATCTTCATGAAAGCCACATTGAGGGAGTGGAAGAGAGAGAGAGAGAGAGGGAGAGAAAAAGAGAAAGAGAGAGAGAGAGAGACAGAGACAGAGACAGAGAGACAGAGAGAAAGAGAGAGAGAGAGAGAGAGACAACAGACTGGTACGCAAATCGAAAAAATGGCGCCGTTGGGAGACAGCCGATGAAGAGGGCGAAGAGGAGGGGGAGAGAAGGAGACGGATGGACTGGGACGAAGACGAGGACGAGGGCGACGACAACGTAGACAGGGAGATAGGAAAAAACATATTCAGAGAACAGTGCAGAGAAGGTCCCTCAAGGCGTCCGAGAGCGCAAAAGCAAAATCAGCGCCACGCCGGTCGTATGACCCCATCAGCGCCGCCACTGCTGAGACAGGGCCACGCCTCAGCACAGACCCCGAAGGAGCGGCACCCACGGCTCTGAGAGACGGCGCGCGGAGCCCTGGCGCTTTCTGTCGCGCCGCCCGCCGCACCGCGCGGCTCCGCACGCCGGCTGCCCGCCGGGCCCGCCCCGCCAGCCGCCGAGCAAGCGACGCCGAGCTCGGCTGCGGCCGCGGGCGGCGCCAGCCGCAGGCGGCGCGGCCGCGGGCGGCCGCGGGCGGCGGCCTCGGGCGACGCGGCCGCGGGCGGCGACGCCGCAGGAGGCCCTGTGCGAGGAGGGCGCAGCAGCCCTGAGCCGCCGCCGCGGTAAACGGGCGCGAGCGGCTCCTCCTGTGCTGCGTCGCTCGCGTGGGCCCTGGGACTGCCGACCCTGGGCCCTTGAGATGCCGGCCACGTAGGGCTGCGTCGCTCACGTGGGCCCTCCGCCATCTCCTTGTCCTTCTTCTTCCTCCCCCTCCTCCTCCTCCTCCTTCTGCTCCTCATTATTCCTCCTCATCCTTCCTCTTCCTCTCCCCCTCCTCCTCCTCCTCCTCCTCCTTCTTCCTCCTCATCCTTCCTCCTCCTCCTCCTCCTCCTTTCTTCCTCCTCGTCCCTCCTCCTCCTCCTCCTCCTCCTCCTCCTTCTCCTCCTCCTC